AAATTAAGGGGTCTCTCAGGCAAGATATGGGAGCAGGAATAACAGTTATTTATTAGGAAAGAAAATAAAAATAGAATAAACAATGCAGTAATACAAAACAACACTGACAGAGTCAGAATACAAACCTGACACCCTGTGGGTCAGGTTGTTGGTAGCAGTCCAATTGAAATGGTGGCTGCAGTCCTCCAGGAGTAGCAGATGTGGTTCTGTTGGAGCAGGGATCCTGTAGAAGGGTGTGGTCTTCCTCTGAAGATCTAGTGATGGTATAGATGGGCCTGGTCTTCCTCTGAGAATCCAGTGGGAAAGGCTGTCCTGATATTCCAAAATCTCAGATTATATCCAGTTAGGAATGCTTGGCTCTTCTCTTTGGGCAGAACATCTCACAATGGGATGCTGTAATTTTTATCAGCCATGCAGTGACACTCAATGGCCCATTAACAGAAGATATCTACTGGAGGGAGGATTGGTTTGTGGAAGAGATAAAGAAAACTGCCCAATTAACAGAAGATAACTGCCACACCTCTAACAGATGGCATATAGAATACACATGTTACCTTGCAATCTCAGACACACACACTGCTTTCAGACTAGTAAAGGTTTCGTATCAAAATGGTTCACCTCCTTCAATAGAAAACATTTAAATGAAAATGTCCAGCTCTGCAAAGCTCCAGCACTCAGACTAGACCATCCTCTTCCTTGCATTAGCACCTTGGAAGAGCAGCCCTGCATCAATAAAGAGCCAGGCATGTTTTCTGAAAATGGACTTTCGCATCTGTTTATTGTCCTAAATGTATTTTACTTCCAAATGGCCTCTGAGTAAAGAGTGAGTCACATCTGAAGAGTCATGAAGTGCTGTAATATAGCAAATATCCTTAAGGACCAAGGGAGAAAAAAAAAGGTTTAAAATTACCTTTATTTGTGTAGAACACAGTGGCCAGTTTGGTTTAGGGTGTCCTCGCTGCCTTATTTACCTCCACACCCCACGGTGGGTTAAGTGTGAAGCTCAGAGCATTTTGTATCATGCTGCACCAGATCTGGGAAATGCTGCAGTTGCTTTTCTTCCTTCAGGAAAATGTCACTTTATAGCCATGAATGGCTGACAATAAACAAATGTTTACAAGTAAATGTAAACAGAGGGGTGGGGCTAGTCAAACACTGGGCATTTGGAACTCGATCTCGGTACCCAGATCAGAACCACCCGATTTATGGGAACTGGCAGCTCTTACTGACCACGGTGTTGCAGATCTGGGTTCTTATTAGTAGCTATGAAATTTGTCCATTGCTGTAATTGGTGGAGTTACTTTGGGATTTTTCTAGTGATTCAGGGTTTTCTGGTATTCCTTTCAAACTGGGATTCTGGCAGGAAGAAGTGACTTTTAGTGAGTATTGAAACGAAAAGGAAATATGGTGAGGTGAATTAAAAATACACAAAAATTTTACAAAATTGACATTTTCTATGCAAACGTTTTCCCTCCAACACAAAACAAATACTCCTTTTGAAATGGCATTTGAATTTTGAATATGGTTAAATCTATTTATATGTGATAGAAATTATTTTATACAATCAGCATGACACTTTACAATATGATCCAACTAATTTGGTGGTGATGTTTAATTCAGTACTCTCTAACTTTGGGCTTGGGCCAGGGAAAGATTTTGCAATCTCAGGCTCCTACAGAAAGGGACAAACAAGTACTTCATTGTCATATACTCAAATATTTTCTGGTCTCCCTGCTGCCAGCTGTAGTTACAGGGGAGTTGCCCTTAGGATTCTTGGAATGGGGAGAAAGCTGAAGCAGAGACCTGCTAGGCCATTATTGTGCAGAGCAGGGGGGCTGCTGGCCTTTTGTCTGTGGTAGAACACCTCACTTTGTGTTTAAATTATGTAACAGTCATCCTGCCTTCTCTCTGAAGGTACCATGCTGTTCCAATTTCCCTCAGTGCTCCAATGTCTCTCACATCTCCATTATTAATCCACTTGCTGGACATGATGTTTATTATCACGCTTGACTCAACTGGCAAAGTGTATCAGAGTGCATAAACCAGGGTTGGTGCACACTGGTCAATAAGTATTATAATGTCCTAATGCCTCTAAAAGGATTTCTCTGTTTCTGCCAACTTAATTTTTTTTTAAAAAAAGCTCTTATTAGTGGCTCAGAAACTTCATTCCAAGGTGTGAGTGTCTGCAAGCAAAGCCACTCAACTTGTTTTATACTTCTTTCCTCTCACAAAAACTTGATCCAAAAAACCTGGGAATGGGAACACACTTCAGTGTCAATCCCATTGAGGCTGATTGGGATTACTACGGCACAAAAAATGCCATTTTCGTGGCATTTTGTGGTGCCATAGTATTCCCAATTTGTGGTGCCATAGTATTCCCAATTTGTGGTGTTTTAAGGATCTCAGTCTGCAATCTGGCTCCTGGCAGGAGAACACCAGACAAGGGCTGCTGGCAGCATCACAACATCTGCTTTTCCAAAGGGATGGAAAACTTCTGTTTGGCTAAAAGCAAAGTAACAAGAGACCACAAGACAACAGCTGAGGCTGAAAAGCATGAGGGAGGAGAGGAGGTGTGAGTGTCCTTCAGCCCAGCCAGAGTTACCACCTGCAGCACCCCAGGACAAGCCACTCCCTGACATGACCCTGTGAGGAGCTGCTGGATGGAAAGGCAGGGGAAGTGCTGCACCAAACCCCCTGTGCCTGCAGGAGACTGCCCTCAGGCAGGAACAAATGGCCCCAAGGGCAGGATCATGCCCTGGTTATACCCATTTACCACATGATAAGTGTGCAGTTCCATGAATATCTGGGCTGAACCTGTCCTCCAAGGAAATGGTACGTAAAACATCTGGGAGACTGATCCTGCGAGAGCTCAACACTTGTAATGTCTGGGAGACCCTGCTGGCTGCCTACCTGCCTTCCTTCCATCCCCTTGGGCTGTGTGCAGGCAGCCCTTGGCATGTCCCCCCTGCCCTGCCGTGTCCCCAGCCCTCTCTCCTGTCGCAGGATCGCTGGGTGCCAGCCACGCTGTGCCCTTCTGCCTTCCCACCTTCCCCGAGCCCTTCACTTGTGCCTGGCTGGGAGAGCAGTGCCAGGACTTCGCTGCTTTCACAGGAGTAAATTCTGTGGGCGCTCTTTCCAGCCACAGGGCTCAGCCCTGGCCAGCAGCTCGCCGGCTTATTTGAGGCAGGGACGAGGACGAGCCACCTCTATTGTCACAGCAACCCCTCCCCAGTGGCTTTCCTCTCCCAGGTCACACGGGAGTCACCTCACCGGCTGACAGATAACATAGGAAACTGCTCCTCAAACCAAAACCAGACCCAAAGCTTGGAAGCTATTTTATTCAGGCGACTTGCAGCTGTCGAACTAGCTTACAGGTGATGATGCTACTGCTCTGCCGGGTGCTTTGGAAGAGTGATTTACACTTTGTTATGCTCTCCACGGGGACTTGGGGTAGATTATTTGCTTCCTGTGCCCTGACTTGGCTCCCTGAGACCCCGCATATCCCAGCCCAGACCTATGAGTGGTGTGGATGGCATCCTTGGAGTACTGCCTCCCCTTCAAGCTTCAGGAACTGATGGTAAAACATCCGGGAGGCACAGGAGTGATCTGAATTCTGCTGATTGGATATATCTCCATGTCCAGAAACTAAGATTTTACCACCCCTGCTGCAGTAGTCCCAGGGGACATAAATGCTGGCTCTGGAACTCTTATGGAGACAGGTCTAGCCTGCAGACCCTCCTTCTCTACTTTGTCACCTTCCCACGGGGCATCTGCAAGTGGCAGCGCTGCAGATACTGTACCTGCCCTACGAGATCCACCTGCTGGCTCCTGGACGCTCCCATAGGCTTCACAAACCCCATCTTGCCTCCCTCTGCATCCAAGGGCTGCTCCCATCCAGGGACTAGGCAAGGAATGGTATCCAAGCAGGGTGCTCCAAGGAGGATGAGCACTGACACCTTCAGTAGCAGCAACTCCCTCATTAATTTAAATTCTGCTCAGCTGCACAGAAAAAAAATATTTTGAAGTATCTTTTAACTTAAAATTTGATTAAGACGTGTTCTGATAAAAGAAATAACGCATTATTGGTGGGGAGAAGCAATTTCAGTTTACTTGATTGTTGGGAAAGCGTTTTTGTTTGCAGCAATGTGAGTATTTCTGTGGTGGAAAGGTTGGTCACAGCTGCAACATTTGTAACACCTTAGTAACACATAAATGTCGTGGGAATCAAAACACGGGGCTGGAAGGCATCTCTAAAGAACCCGTGTTCAACTCTTGCTCCAGGCAGGAATATCTCTGTCTAAACCATTCTTGATTATATCACCTAACCTTCTTCGCAAAATCTCTGGTGACCTTCCAGTGCAATTTACTTCACCCTACAGCAGCCTAGCAGTCAACGGTGCTTTTCTAAATTAAAGGCAAATTTCTCTTCTTTGTTCACGCTCATTAAGAACTTGTTAAGCAACAATTGCCAGGAATTTAACAGAAAAGTTCCTCCTACTTGAGGGTCGTTTGAAACTTGCTTTGCAACACGTCAGCAGCTCAGGTTGCCCTTTTTTTTTTTTTTTTTTTTTAACTATAAATTTCAGTTTCCCATCTTTAGTGACTCGTGTTCTCTTTGTATATGACCGCCCTTGGCGTCAACAGGTGTGGAAAGTTTCCACTTCCCTCTGCTCCTCCTCCAGTCCGTAATTAGCGGCTCCTGATGTCGGGATGTCTCTGGCCAGGGTAGGTCATCCTGCCACGCATCGCCACTCGAGCGGGACAACACAGGTACAACTGCGCTGGGATGCAGTTTTGGTTTGTGCTCTACCACGCTGGCTGTACGGTACAGCACAAACTCCTGGAAGTGAGAAGGGAGAGAGCGAGGTGGGGGGGGGGGGAAAGGGGGAAAAAATCCTTAGGACAATTTTAAGTGGTACAGTGGGAATTCAAAGTCCCAGAGCGCCCAGCCGAAAGCGGCCGAGCCGGGGGTGGGGCCTTTCCGCGGGGCGCCGCCGCCGCTCCGGGGCTCGGGAAGGGGACGGGTCCCTCCCGAGGAGTCTCCCTGACCTGAGCCGACCTGACCTGACCTGACCTGACCTGACCTTTCTTGAGGGGCGGCCCCGGGAGGGACATCTCGGTCCCGTCCGGCGGTGGGAGCGGCACTGGTTGCGGGGCTGCGGAACGGAGCCGCGCTCTCAGCGAGGTGAGCCCGGGGCTGCGGGGCTCGGCTGGGCCAGGGCTGAGCGGCTTGGCCCTCGTGTCCCGCTCGGGGAAAGGGGCGTTTATGCACGGCGGGGGGCGCGGATCGGAGCGGCCGTGCTGCCGGAGCGGCAGCGGGACCCCGGCAGCGCCAGACCGGCTCCGTGCGGCCGCCTGGGCTCTGCGAGACCGCTCTCAGAGCTCCCTCCCGGAGGGGCTGCGGCGTTTCGGCCGTGGGGCGCGGAGAGCAGCCTCTCTTGGGTTTCCCAAACCTCTGTGAGGTTTGTGTGGCGCGGGCAGCGCTGTCGGCGGCAGTGACGAAGGGGCGAGTGAGGGCGGCAGCTTGCGCGCCGTGCCCCCCTGTGCCGCAGGCTGCAAGGGCTCCATCCTGCTCCAGGAGCGTTGGTGGGACGCTGGAAGGTCTGGGAGGATGGCAGCAGTGGGAGGACGAAGAGGAAGGGGTCAGCTGGGAGGAAGAAAAACAGAATTTCTCTCTGCCAGAGCTGACTAAGAGGTCTGGCTTGGCTGAGAAGGTGGAAAGACATCAGAACTGGTGAGCGGGGAGGGTGCAGTTGGCTGCTGTGCTCCCGGGCAGACGTGCTCTGGAAAACGTCGGAGTCTGGACAGGGATAAGGTCTGAGGAAGAAAGATGGAGCTTCACAATAGTAGTGTAGGAGAGGGAGAAGAGAGCACCTACTAAAGAGGCATAAAAAAAAATACAGAACTCTTGTAACTGTAGTAACCTAAAACTATTAATGCTGCTGAAAGAAGACGAGTTTAGAAGCTTTACCTAAAAATGAACCATCCTGGTTAAGTGAAAATGTTGCCTTCTAATGCGTGAGAGGTTTCTCAGAATAGACTGGATGTTTCTTAACTCTGAAGAAACCAGTGGTTTTGCAGTTTTCCATGGAGTTTGTTGCAATGGAAGCCAGAATAAGTAATCTGAAGAAACTCAAATACCCCTGCGTTTGGGTTTTGTAGCAATCCCAGCAGCATCTCCAGTCATTGGCTCTGTGGGAGGAAACATTGACTGGTGAGGCATATGTGAATGCCCTTCTCTTGTTCATGTGCCCTATTTGGCAACACACAAATGGCCATTACCCTTGAGGGCAGGAATGTATGGAGTTGATTGAGAAGCAGTCTGCCTGCCAGGTTTAGCTTTGGGTGTGCAGTTCATGGAGCAGCTCTCCCTGCGCCTCAAGGTTTCCTTCCTGCGGGATTTCTACTGACTCTCAAGGCATTTGCTCTCTCCATCCAAGCTCTATGGCTCTAATTAAGTTTGGGGTTTGTTTTTTTATTGTTGTTGTTGGTTTTTTTTGTTTTTTTGGGTTTTTTTTATGTGTCTCTAATGAAGTTTTTCTTGTTCAGGGGCATCATTGTGCCAAGTTACCATGCACTGAAGCTCAGTGATGCCAGAAGGATGCAGCCTCCTGCAAGCCTGCTGTAAAATCTTTTTGCGCCAATGTTTTTGTCTGTCTCACCGGTGTCTGTGCCACAAGGAAGAACATTCAAACCTTCAGCAGAAGCAGCCTTTTGCTGCTTTAGCTTTAGCAAGGCTGGTCACAGCAGGCTCAGAGGAACACCAAAGAAGAGCCTGAGGAGGAAGGGAGTGGGGCCACTTCCTTTAGCAGCAATCGCCTTGGCTTTGTTATCAGCAGATATTTTGGCACAAGGTACTTACGAGAAATTCTTCCATCTTGCTTTAATTTCATTTGGCCTCTAGTATAGAGAGAAGCCTTTGTGCCAGTCACAGTCACCATGAGAAGCCATGCAGGCGTGCCTGTTCCCTGTGTAGAGGTGAGACCAGAGGAGCAGGATATCCATGTGCTGGATGTGCCTTGCTGTCAGTGCCCTGGTGGTTTGGATCAAGTTACAGTATGTGATGGCAGGAGAGACTGGGGACACTCATCTTGTCTCCACTGGCAGCCCCCCAGTAAATAACCATAGCTGTGCTATTATTCAGCTCCCTAAGGGATATGCTTCCCAGGTTTGTCAAAACACTTGGACTGTGTCTTCTGGATTTGTGGTTCCTTTCTCTGCTCTCATCAAGGGGGTGTGTTTTACTCCTGATCAAATTAACACTAAAACACCTCAAGCTGCTGGGTTATTCAGGTTCCAGAACAGATTCATAGATCTTCTTTTGGGTGGTGTTTTCACTGGGAAACAGGTGATACTCTACCAACTCACTTCTTGTAACTGATTTTTTCCTGTCTTCACTGACTTTAATAATTATCTTAAACTGGGACTGGGAACTCCACATGACAGTTTACATGAGGTGTAGTGGAACTTCAGATTATGGCATTGTGCGCCAACTACTCCCCTGTCAGCAAAGGATTAAGTCATTTCCTGGGGCTTTTTGGGTAAGCCCAAGTATCCCTGCATAGCGAGGAGTAGACGTCACCAGAGGGTCCTGCTGTCCCACACCTTGGTGGCCTGGCCCCAGAGGGGCAGCTCATATCTGCACAACTCTCTGGAGAGCTTTGGGAAAGCTGCAGGGAAGAAATGAGACTTCTCTGTTTGAGCAGAATCACAGGAGAAGCTGAGTCCCTAAAGGAAAGAACTCACAAGGATCATTGAGTCCAACCACTGGCCTTGGCCAGGACACCCCAACAATCCCACCCTTGGCTGAGAGCAAATGCTCCTTGAACTCTCTCAGGCTTGTGCTGTGACCAAATCACTGGGGAGACTGTTCAGTGCCCCAAAACCCTCTGGGTGAAGAAGCTTTTCCCAAAATCCACCTTAACCCTGTCTTGGTACAGCTCCAGCTGTTCCCTCCAGTAGTTTAGCCCTGTATTCATTTGAGCAGACAGTCATAATTTCAGTGTTAGAAATCTCTGCTCTTGATCAAGCAGGTGAATTATCTGTGTAAGTGCCATGTGGAGCATGAACGGTATGGAATTTTAAAAGGATGCATTCAGGGAGGTCACCAGTGATCCTGATATGCCTGGTTTGATCTAAGTGCAAATGGGATATTCTTATGGAGTGTGCAGAAGTGAACAGAACCAATTGCATTAGCTGTTGGTGTTCCATATGTATTAGTAACAGGCTATCAATATTAGTGTTCCATATGTTTGGGTATTCCTCAAGAAGCAAGAAATTATAATGAGGTGCATGCTGTGTAAAAAGTCAAGGCATTTGAAATGTGGTAAGGACAGTACATGGTGCAGCCTTGGGAAAGGTCCTATAATTCCCCCTTAGGCTGTGATTGAGGCAATGGTTTTACACAGACTGACCTGCAGCTGCTCCCAGGCAGTCTGTAGCACTGGGACAGGAGCAGAGAAGCACAGATCCAAACACGAGTCCTGAGCCCATCTCTCTGCTGCACACTGCCCCATTCTGAGTATTCCTAGAGAGCACCCTGAACCACAGCTCTCCACAGCACAGGGTAGCAATTCAGAGTATCAGTTCCTATTTCTGCTCGTGGCAAACATGCTGGACTGGAAAGAACAAAGGGGGTAGAAGCAGAAGGTGCAGTGCAGGGCACTTTTGTCTGTGGTCTTTGGAAGGAAAGAACGCGCATGCTTTGCTTTGATGATTTGTGCAGTCTGTATTTCTAGGAGGGTTTTTTTGAATTTGTTCTTGATGAAAGATTTGCAGTCTTGAATTTTCATTGTACTCAAAAGGAAGAAAATGCCTGTCTGTAGATGCTCTGAAACACAGTAACTGGGAGCTGATTTATGTAAACTTTCAGCAGCCTTTTTTTTTTTTTAAATTTAACTTAAGGGTGCCTATAGAAGCAAAGGCGACCCCCAATGACAGGGAGAGAATGATACATCTGACTCCGTCTTATCCAAAGGCTAATTAATCACTTTATTATACTATACACATTTCATCTAAACTGAATCTGCCACGCACTCACTCTGCACACAATTGCACAGAACTGCACTCATCTCCTGACTCTGTGACTGTTGTGACAGTCCAACACGCTCTTGGCCCTAATAGCCCAAGGAAACAAAACATCCTCACTTTGGATAAACAATCTCCATATTGCATTCTACTTTGGCACAACACAGGCACAGCAAGTTATAAGAATTGTGTTTTCCCTTTCTCTGAGGTTCAGAGAATGTGAATCTCAGAAATATTATTGGGAAGAATTGTGCCTTGCTTTTCTCTATGAAGAGAATGTGGCAACAGGTGCCTTAACACCAAATGTATCTGTTGGGGATTACACCCACTGGTTATTTCTAAATTGCCTTAGCTCTAGATCCAAGATTAATATGTTTAATTTTGGTGTGCCAAATGTTATTTAAAAGTCTGCCTTGACAATTGTGCTTTGATTCTAGTTTGAGCTTTTAAGATTTTGTTTATTTTCTTGTGATTTAATGTTTCCATTGGCTTTTAAAGGAAAAGCTTAAAAAAGAAAAAATCTTGGCCTTCTGGGAAAAACAAAAGCAAGGGCGAAACCTGTTGGCAGGTAGGAATGGAATGATGGATTTGACCTTCTCCATGAAGCAACAGCAAAAACACTCTGGATCTTTTCTAATGTTAATCTGGGAAAATATTCTGGACTCAATATCAAGGACCATATTTAACAAAGCATTTAAAGCCAGTGTTTCACCTGACCTTTGTGGAAATGCTCTAAGCTTGTCTTATATCATCTGGAGGGGGTTGCAGCCCTGTCTGCTTCTGGAAACTCTGTGATGGATGTTCTGTGCCTTGCTGAGCCAACAGCATGTTGCTGTAGCTGTGGGTAATCGACCATTGGGGCTGGAACGGGATGGGGCTCTGGCAGTGTGAGAACTGCTTTGTGCCTCTTGGGTTTGCTGCTGATGTGGCACATAGTCCTGCACAGCAAGTGCCACACAAAAGGGACTGTAAAAAACCAAGCAAATTTATTCCTTGCTCTGTGTGCCACAGAAAAAGCACTCAACAGGTCAGTCCCTGGCCCTGTGGGAAGCGCAGCCTGGTTTCAGTAAGGGAGGACCTGGCTCTTGTCTCTGGCTGCTGTGATGCCTCTTTGTTCCCAAGTCATTTCTGTGTTGTCCCAGCTAAGTCCTAAAGCCCCTCTTTCTGACAGGACCAGGAAATTTCTTTATTAATGTTTGCTTTATTTTTCAGGCAGTCACAAAGTAAAAAAAAAGGTAAAAACAGGAGTGAATTTCAGGCAAACACAGCTGCATGTTTGCATTGGGCTTGTGGTCTTTCCTCTTGCTTTATTTCCTCCACTGAAACTGCTGGGTGGAATCTCAGGGGTGCAACACCATCAGCTGTTGTGTAGCTTCTGATGAGACTTCATCAGATATGATGGGAAGAAATGGAGCTTTTTCTCTGGCTTCAGGGGTGTTTGCAGTACCCCAGAGGACCCTGTGGCTTCCCTGCTGCTTTCACCGCTGTTGCTGAAACAGCTGTTGGAATCTGCTGTGCCTATTTACTGCCTGAGATACTTCTGTCTTTCTCTCCTGTTAAGCAGTGGAGTGTCTTTTAAAAAAACCAAAAGAGATCATCGCTATTTCCTTGCTGTTTGTGAGGGAGAAGTGCTGAGGGAGAAGTAGTGCTCTTAACTACTCTGCCTCACAGCTGTGCTTCAGTCGAGCTGTTCTGTGGAAACCAAATGCTCAGGAAGGCTTAATATTTATTTTGTAGGCAAAGTTTTCTGCCTCAGATTACTGAGGTAATCCCCTCTTTGTTGGCAACTTCTTAGGCTGGTTTAGTTGCGACACAAATCTTTGCTTTCTGGGAAGTCTTCACAGGTGTGTGGCAGTGCTAGGATGACCCTATCTTCCTGTTTAAAAGGTAGAGAGCCCTTTGGTGCATGCTCAAGAGCTGCTTGGGATAAGCTCTTGACAGATTTAAGCAAATAATAAAATATGGGATGGGAAGCCATCAATAAGTTGCTAGCAAGTCCTTTGCATTCAAGTTGGCAAATGATGACATGGCACTTAGGAGCATTCATCTTCCTTCTTTAAAAAATTTCTAAAGAATTGGACGGGTAGTTTTTGGAAATTGACGTTACCACAAAGGGAAGGGAAATAACTGTATGAGTAATTCAGGAAGTCAGTAACCCTCACCACCTACTTTCTTTTATAACCAGGTTTTTTTGCACGAGGTAGTGAGGAGCAGCTCACCAGCTGGAAAGCCAACATTCAAATCCAAGTTTCATCCTTACAGGAAGAAAAAATACCCTAGGGACTTCTCTGTATTTAAACACTGCAAAGTACTCTGTATGAGGTAGAACCGGCACGGTTTGGGGGGCCGGGGCTGCAGGGCTCACCTGTGTGGAAAGGGGCCATGATTCCAGCCAGCTGGTTCCAATGAGCTCCAAACTAGACAAACCCAGCCCATTGCACATCAAAACCACAGCTGGTCAGAGCAGCACACTGCCTCTGCTTGAAGGTTTTGAAGAAAGGGTGGAAGCTGTGAAGGACAGGATGGTGGGGTCTTGCTGTTTCTTGCAGCCGTATGGGCAGAAAGTGTGTGTTACCCTTTCAGAGTCACAAGGAAAACAGAGGGTCCAGAGGGAAGCGCAGCTGACCGGGAGGTGGCTGCGCCCTGGGCTGCTGGCCAGGTGATGTGTCAAGTAGTGTAGAAAAATTCCAAAGTGACTGGTCTGAGAGGCTGAAGGTGTCTTGGAAAAGTCATAGAACAACAAGGCTTTTGTTCAACAGAGGGGAAAAGAAAATGAGAGAGGAAAAAAATTTCTCAGCAGAGAGTTTTCGTCTTGTTTTCAACTGAAGAGCAATTAATCTGAAATGGAAAATTTCTGTTATCAAGCTAACCCATAGCTTTCTTTAGGAGGCATAATATAGTTATCCGTTACACTATGCACATTTCTGGTTTGTCTGACAGAAATTTTTTTATTGTTGAATTGTATTGATTTTATTTCTTTTAAATAATGCAAACTTTTACCAAAAGACAAACAGGGATTAAAGCAGAGGAGACACTAAAATGTTCTGCATCTTTCAGACAACTTTATCTCTTTCTTCAAAGAATATGTTCCTTATGAAATATTTCTGGGTTTTTAACTTTATTAAGAGAGGCACTTCTGAGAAAAGTGTTGCCACACTGATGACGGCGCCCTTCAATGAAACTGTGTGTTTATAGAACTCATTTCATGCATGTCTGCTGTCCTTGGGTTCATGAAGGTTAGCTGGTACATGGGTGCTGTACCTCAAGGGGGAAGCCAGGGGTGTGGCTGGAGACGCAGAACTGGCCAGTGCAGCAGAAGAGGAGCATGGAAGGATCAGGAAGGTAATCCTGGATCTGGTTTCCTGGGAAGTGACTGAAGGATCATTATTTTCTCTGTGCTGACTGAGAGCTCTCCTGTGCCAGGAGCTCTTGTGTTGGGGGCATCCAGGACACACAGTAAGGAGTAATGCACCATAGAGTTATTTTCCCCCATTTTATTCTCTTCTTTGTTTTATCCTCCCTTCTCTTGGAAGCCATGGTGCAAAGTAGATTCTTGTGGGAAAGTGCCGTTAACTGTCTTAATCTGATAGATGCTGGGGACTGAGCTCTGCCTAGGGCTGGTGGGTCCTCAGCAGGAAAGAAGAGGAGAAGCAGCACTCTCCCCATGCTCTGTTTGGACATGCTATTTATGAACATCATCCCTTTATTCTTTCATAGATACTTCAGGGTTATCTCTCTCAAGTGATTGTGACCATTTCCTTGCTCACTTGGCTTGTGGTCTCTGGTTTTTGCTTCATAACCATTCCTGGAAATCAGATGAACAGGCCGAGTCCACAAGAGAGAACTGCAGAAGGAAGTCACTCAGCTGCACCCTGCAAACTGAGCGCAAACTGAGTGCAAACTGAGATCTTGACATTTAAATTTGTGTATAATGATGAAGCCAAACAGCATCCAGTAATATGCTGGCAGAGGTACGAGAAGTATAAAGCACTCTTCAAAATGGCATCTATCACCAGAGGGGAAAATTAAGTAGGCACATGAAGTCGGGCAAGTTAAATATGGCAACACCATGAGACTATAGAAAACACTGTTTGAAAACAATTTCCAAAAGATAGTAAAGCTACCAATATTATGAATCCTTTTTTTTTTTTTCCCAGTTGCAGAAGGAACATGAAGCCTGCTAGTGGGGCAGAAGGTCGGTAGGGAATGAGACTGGGAGTTCAGAGACCACTTTGAAACAATCCAGAATTAATTTCTGCATCTGGCTACAGGTAAGAGGAATTTGGGGATGCTGGGCCCTGCTGTTTATGAACAGAGAAGGGCTGGCGGGAGATGTGGTGGTTGGAGTCTGTCTTAGGCATAGTGGTCTTGAAATGAGAGTTTTCAATTCTTGTAGAAGTATGGAATGGAGTCACGAAACTTCTACTTTGGATTTCCAGACTTTTGCCCGCTCAGGGCTGAGGCAGTCCCTTAGGAGATAGTTCTGAGGGACACTGGGCATTCTCCAAGAACAACATCTGAAAGGCACAGCAACAAGCCAGCCCAATGTGCCATAAGACAAGCCAGCAGAGAAGAAAAAGGGCCTGGATGAATAGGGAGCTTTTGATTGAACTCAAGGGGAAAAAAATATTTACCAGTTTGGGAGAAGGGACAAATGGCTCAGGAAGATTACAAGAGTGTCATTAGGTTATGCAGGGATAAAGTCAGAAAGGCCAAAGGCCCAGCTAGAATTTCATTTGGCAAGTATCACAAGACATAGCATATTTAATGTTTCCAAATATCTTAATAACACAGAGCCAAGGAGTCTCTCCATTCTTTATTGCATGTGAGGGGATTACATGTGACTCTCCATCCTTTATTACATTGCCACCAAGGATGAGGAAAAGGCTGAGGTACTTGATGCTTTCTTTGCTTCAGTCTAACTGAAAGGCCAGTTATTATCAGGGTAACAGGTCCCCTGAGCTGGGAGATAGGGACAGGAAAACACCCCTGTAATCCAGGAGGAAACAGTGACCTGCTGTTCCACTTAAATTGCACAATCTGTGGGGCCAGGTGGGATCCACTCAAGGGGACTGACAAAGCTGGTGGACAAGCTCATGGAGCTGCTCTTCATCATTTACTGCAGCCCTGGTGAACTGGGGAAGTCCCAGAAGGCTGAGGGTTAGCCAATGTGACACACATCTACAAGAAGACTGAAAGGAGGATCTGGAGAGCCACAAGGCCATAAGCCTGACCTTGATACCAAGGAAGGCTGTGGAACAGATCATACTGAGCGTGACCCACCAAGGGGTCAGGCCCAGCCATGTTTATGGGTGGAAGGTCGTGCTTAACAAACCTGATCCTACAAATTTTGACTGTCTAAGTATAACAGCAGTACTGACCATTTTCCCTTCATCTAGGGCCACTGCTTATTGTATTCAGGGAGGCTGATTGAAATGTAATTATGTTGCCATGTCTGGCTAATCTGATTTTCTGTTTTTGGCCTTTGATTAGGTACATCATTGATAGCTCTCTGTTGCAAATAACAGAGCCTGTAGGTACTTTTTCTGGACAGCCTCAGTGAGATGCCATCATATCTGTGGCTGCTTTGTGTACAGTGATCTGGGAATCAGCAGCTATCAAAACTGCCATGTCATTTCTTTCCACAACCTTTTTTGGTTTTTTGGTTGGTTGGTTTGGGTTTTGGTTTTTTGTTGGGTTTCTTTTTTTTTTTTTTTTTTTTTTTTTTTTTTTTTTTTTTTTTTTTTTTTTTTTTTTGTGGAGAAAGTTGCTAATCTCATTCTCCTACTCTTTGCTCTGGCTTGCTTTCAATGCATCTTATCCCACAGGGTGTCTATCCAGCACTTCATTACAGCTATACAAGAGGGTGTGTACACTTTCTTTTATGTCAGGAAAAAACATAGTTCTAAACCCACTCTGAGTGAATTGGATATTGCAGGGTTCATTCTGAAAAGGTGAAGTCATGATAAATACAGAAGATGCAGTTAAGAGACAGGTGCCTTAAATGTCCTCTGCCTTCAGCTGCAGTATTTTATTGGTCTAATATACTACATTTACAATACTTGCTCTCCTCTTACCTCAAACATTCACACATGCTTGGTCTGCTGTCCTCTCTGGGTTCAGGAGAAGGAGCTCTAAAGCTCTTGGTAAAATGCTGAAAACTAATTGCCCTAAATACTAGGGGAATTTGCTGGTTGATGCATCCCTGTTGGGCATCACTCTGTGTTTCTATGTCTAGCAGCCTGATTAGTTAGTTACTGAATGCTGTTATTGTTAAATCTCACCTTTTCTACTCTCATTGGTAATGTAAATATGGAGAAAACTGAGATCTTCAGGTGTTTTCTGGTGGGTCCCTAAAATACCTCTATCAGGCTGCTTGTGATGTGTGATATTTATTGTTCCAGACCCTTAGCAGCTACCTAGGTATGCAAAGGTTTGCTGGACCTTTTCCCCTCCTCTCTGTTTTTTGCTACTCAATTTGTAGTAAATTTACAAACACCCCCCCAGGTGTTTTGCAGTTCCTGTGTCCACACATTTGCTTGAAAGGACATGACTAAACTCAAGGGTATTTGGTTAGTTCCCCTGAAGACAACACAGGCTGGCACAAACACTTTTTCCAAGGCTAACCTGTGTTGCTGTGTTTGTGCTGGATGTACATTTAAACATCGCTTTCATAGTTTAATGCCATAAAGTAGTTGAAGTCTTGATAAAAATACACAACAACAAGCCGTAATAAAACAAAGAAGGAAATGAAGCTATACCACAGTGTACTTTCATTTAGCCCATGAAGACTGGATGCTCATGACTGGATGCTGATCTCTACCAGATCCTCCAGCCAGCCCCAGGCTGGACTCCTTCAGTGCTGTGTCCCTTGCTGCAAGAGCTGCCACTCTGCTTTGCTACCCCAGCAGTACTTTCCCTAAACCCAGAAGGATATTTTTAGTGCCCAGAACTGCAGGAATGAGAGTTGACTTGGCCACAAGAGGGCCCAGCTATTGCGTGAAACTGTTGGGATCAACCAAAGCATCTTGCCCAACATGCAAAACCATCTCTAACCAGTTTCTCTGCATGCTCCAAGGTACAACAAAGAATTACACTGCAAGTCCATTTAGTTAATAGTATATCATGTATCTGTAGATACACATATATTTGCTAATAGTCAGATCATCCCTTTGCACCCTCTTTCCTGTAATTTTCTGTTAATTTGCAGGCCTATCCAGCTTCATAGGCTAAATCTCCTAATTACCTGGGTATAAGCCATATCAGTTAAATCCTAGGAGGGAAACAATAGCAAAGTCCTTATTGAGATCCTCCATTTATATCCTGTTTTTGAAACAATACTTGCACTTCTGTCATATGGACAACTGTAGTTTTCCTGTAATCATCTGATCACCTCTAGATAAAACACTTAGTTTTACTTGTTATAGTAAGATTTAGGCCTGGAGGTTTTGTGAACTTCTGCAGAACTCGTACTCTGAGAATTACACAATTCTAATGTAATTATGTAAATACAATCCTAATTGCTTTCAGTGCAAAGTGAGAACATTTTGTTCTCTGACATCACAAATGCAGGCCCTTAAAGAATTTTCAGAGTTCATTTCTTCCATTTGTTATCACTATTTCAACTGTCATGTAGGTCATATGATGTTTTATAAGAATATCACTCAGTAATGAAATTTTTTTCTTATTAGAAATGATTTGCCAGGTTTCAGGGACTTCTGAATATCTACTGTTACAATTTGAAAAGCTAAGGATTGCAGGAATGCAGGATGCTTCTTTGGCTTCATGTAAGTTGGCTTCATGCACAATTCATGATGTACCATCAGTCAGTCATTCAATTATCATCTCGTTTGGGTTATTTCCCTTTTTTGCTGTCTGTGATTTTGCTACCAAGGAAATATCAGTGAAGCACTGTTAGTCATGTAGGGCAGGAAATCACTTTCCTCAGGGCAGGATGGGCTAAAAGTAGGCATGAGCATGTGCAGATCCATCAGCAGCAGACTGGTGGCAGTCTTTACATGGTAAAGTTACAAGATAATCTGTGGTGGCAGCCCTGTGTCTGTTTCCTTTATTTTATCCCTTTTGTGCTTGGAACAAGGGAACCTTGATGATATTTTTATATCAGGGTTTACATTGTGCAGTGAGGTGTCTCTTGGCACTTTGCAATTTTTGTTTGGACACATTTTTTGTTTGCATATTCAAACCCTGTATTAGTTAACTTAGCTTTTAAATTTAATAAGCAAGGCTATGAAAATTATAGGCAGCATTTTGATGGAAAGCACCTGGGCAGAAAAGGGCCTCATTGTTCCCTGGACCACAAAGCTGACCAGGAGCCAGCAGATGCCCTCACAGCCTATGGAGCATGGCTTGCAAGGTCATGGGGGGTGATCTTTGCCCACCACTCAGCACTGGTGAGACACACCTGGAGGGCTGATTCTGGAATCCCAGGATGAGGGAGGCGTGTCCATACTGGGGCAAGTCCGGCAAAGGGCCACTAAGGTGAGAAGGGGACTGGAGCACACGGTGCATGAGGAGAGGCTGGGAGAGCTCAGCTGACCTTTCTTGGACTAGAGCAGGCTGGGCTGTCTGGTCAGGGCGTACAAACACCTGGCTGAAGGTGGGTGGGTGGAGGACACAAGTGAGACTCTCCTCTGTTCCATGCAGAGATGGCAGGAGCCACAATGGGTGCTCCTTGAAGTGTGGCAAGTTTGAATGAAAGGAAGGGTGGTGAAACACTGGATCAGGTTGCCCAGAGTGGTTGTGGAGTCCCTGTGCTGGGACAAGAGTTGTCATGAGTCCATCCATGGTGCTGCTCTGCATGGAAGGATTTGGGGAGAGGAGAGGGGTCTGGGACACTACAGAGCAACAGTTGTTTCAGGCAGCTGAAGAGGAACTGCAGTAGACCCTAAATTTAGCGGCTGTACTGACAAAGGAGGGATTTTATGAATGTGCCAGCATGTCTCATGCAAGGAAAGGTCAGCCACCCCTGATCACAGGGGCAAAGGGGAACTGTCATAGAATGAGGGACACCTGAATGTGGCAAAGTCCTTCAGTGAGGTCCCTGGCATATGAGGGAGTATTCCCTAATGAACAAGTAAAGCATTTGGTCAAAAGAGCGTGTTTCCAAGGGGTCATTCTGTACTTAGGGCTTGGGGTGGGAGCAGGCAGCTCTACGGAAGGCTCAGCTGAGTTATCATGGCAGCCCCAGCATTAGCGTGATGGCTGGGAATTCTTAGCAAAGGAGGAGAAAACAAATTGAGCCATTTTCCCACGAGTCTAAAGCTCAAAGTCTAGCATCAGTGGGGTTTCAATTTCCTCCTTTTTTTTTTTTTAATTACTTTTTAACTAGCTGGTTTGTTCACGGTACATCTGTGTGACCTTTGTATCAGCTACTCATTACGGATAAATGACGTCACATCCTGCCCTTTTTTTCCTCATTGTGCTCACCGTTCCTTTTCATAAAAAGCAAGTGACAGACCATAGAGTTGTAGTCATCCTCACAGACTTTAATTTCTTTAAATTAATTTTTTTAAACATCCTTTCAGCTGAGCAGGGAATTCTGTGGTGTCTTGAAAGCAGGGACAGGTGAGTTTTGTGCCTTCTTTACGGCACCATCTCTGTCCCACCAAGTCTGTGCTTCTTTCTCTGCTACAGTTCAAAAAATGATTTACAGGGTTAACCCAGCTGTGGTGTGTGGAGGGTGGGGAATGTAAAGGGGTCTGTAAAACGCAGGGTGGGGTGGCTTTTGCTGCATGTAGCACTAGCAGCACATGCTGGCATTTCTGTGGGGGAGGAGAAAACTTTCTGGGGATCCAGAGCTGATCATTTGTTTATTGGCTGCCTCTCCTCTGTCCCCCAAGTCCCAGTGCCTTCCATTACGATACCTCCCAGTGCCTCTAAGAAGCCATTTAATGGGCCCATTAGAAGTTCCTTATGTGATCCAGGTACAGCCATCAAGGGAGAAATGGCAAATGAGATTGTGCCAGCTGAGTTCTCTGTCCTGTTTGCTTGTTTGGGTTCCTCCTGCCAGAGTTTTTTGCATATGTTTCATGTTCAGAATGACTGGAAATTCTAGAGGATGACAGATGAGTTCTCTAATGGTGTTCCCAGAGTTTGTTGTGCATCACTATGAAGGCAGAACACAGACCGATGAAGGAAGGCTCATATTCTGCTGCCTCATCTGTCAGGTTCTTTCTCTTTTTCCTTCCCTTCAGATCATGACAGCTGTCCCGGGAGAGCAAGCTCTGGCTGGAGAGAGAATGCTTAGGATGCCCAGCTGCCTCCTAAAAGTGACCAGGGTGGTGCTGAGCCACAGGCTTTGTGCCCTGTTTATCCTCATCTTTGTGTTCGTATCCTTTGCCTACCAGAAGTTGTACTGGGGCACCTGGGAGGACCCAAAGAGCAGCGGCCCCACCTACAGCTTGTCTGCTGAGATGAGCTGTGCTCACTATGTGCCTTCTGCCCTTGACATTGCTGGTGGACCCTCTCCTTCCACAGGAAAGGTGTTTTTTGTGGAGACCTCGGAGCAAACTGCCCCAAGTTACCTGTTCTCGTGCTCTGTGGAGTCAGCGGCCAGGACACACCCCACATCAAGGGTCATGGTGCTCATGAAAGGCGTGGCCAAAGGTAACGCCTCCTTGCCCAAGCACTGGGCTTTCTCCTTGCTGAGTTGCTTCCCCAACGTGGAAATCCAGCCCCTGGACCTGACAGAGCTCTTTTCTGGAACACCTCTGAAAAGGTGGTACTTACGGCCACTGCGGCACTGGGAGCCTCATTTTTTACCGGTCCTGTCTGACGCCTGCAGAATTGTCCTCATGTGGAAATTTGGTGGCATCTACCTGGATACAGACTTCATTGTGCTTAAGAACTTGCAGAACCTCACCAATGCCCTCGGCATTCAGGGTGACGAGGTACTGAATGGAGCCTTTCTATCCTTTAAGGCCAAGCACAAGTTCATGGAGCTTTGCATGAGGGACTTTGTGGAGGACTACAATGGCTGGGTCTGGGGGCACCAGGGCCCAGAGCTCCTAACTCGTGTCTTCAAGAAGTGGTGCTCCATCCAGACTATCAAGAGCATGAGCTGCAGAGGTGTGAGTGCTCTTGCCCAAGAAGTTGTTTATCCTATTCCCTGGCAGGACTGGAAGAAGTTGTTTGAGGCAGTCAGTGCCTTGGAGCTTCAGAAACTCCTTAAGAACACCTATGCAGTGCACATATGGAACAAACTGAGCCACGGGACCAAGTTAGAGATCCCCTCCCAGGCTCTGCTGGCTCAGCTCTATTCCCAGTTCTGCCCTGCCACCTATGCAAAGATGAAACAGGACTCTGAAGAGTTGTCAAGGCATGCAGTATGACCTGGGGGCCCTTGGCTGCAGGGATGTTCCCCAGGCTGAAGGAAACAGAGTGCCTTTGACCTTCCCCAGAGTTGGTTTCTAGTCCCCAGAGCAGGTGTTCCGTGTGACAGCTCTGTGGTTTTGTAACTGATATTCCTGATATCTGCCTCAGATCCCTTGTGTTTCAAATTTACAGCAGTACCTGACTCCAGCCTCTCTTGCTGTCCTCCACAAGACCTGTCACTGCAGGGAAGATTGAACCCATTCATCAGCATCCTTGAGCTGGTCCTCGCTTGGTGTTCTCCAATGGCTCTTCCTGTGAAGCCCAGCCTGAGCAGCCCCTTGTGATGTTTCAACAGCTGTAGGAGCCCCTGCTTTGCTCTCTGTGGCATTTTTGAGTTTGTGAATCACTACCAGACAGTGCCAAAGGGCACAGATTGCTGGCGCTTGGAACAGAATTCCCTGGCTGGCAACGATCCTTACACGTGGGGAAACACATGAAGAGTATATGAAATTTGCTTTAAGAAGCAGAAAGCAGTTTAGATCCCAGCATAGCTCAGTGTGAAGTTGTTCTAAACTTCTGCAGTAAGAAAAGTTCAAATGATGCTTCCTACTGTTTCTAGATCCACAGCAGTGGGATGACTTGTCTCAGTCTCCTCAGGAAAACAAATAGACAAAAGCAGATCTTTGAGGAGCAGAAGTTATGAATATCCTTGCTCTGCTGAACTAGTTCTTGTAGGATACCAACATCTAAGCAGCCATTGTCACACTCTGAAGGGGCTCAGCATTTCCTGCTTCTGCAGTGCTGTGGGGAGGATTACATCCTTTTTACTGGAATACTGAGCCCAATGTGGAAATCCAGAAGACAACATGTCCACAGCAACAGAAGGACCAGGTGCAGGACTCAGAGCAGTGTCCCCGGGGGCAAAAATAAAAAATCAAAAGCACTTGAATTTTGGAAAAGACCTCCAAGATCAGGGAGTCCAACCTTCAATTCAGTATCACCATACCCACAAGCCTTTGTCCCAAAGTGCCAGGTATACTCATTTTTTGGAGCACTTCCAGGCATAGTGACTCCACTGCTTCCCTGGGGAGCCTGTGGCACACAGTGCTTAAGCACTCTGAAATTCTTCCTCGTATCCAACTGAACCTACCATGGTGCAGGGAGTTCTGCATCCAGCTCTGGGATCCCAGCACAGTAAGGACAGGGAGCTTGCTGGAGCCAGGCCAGAGCAGGGACACCAAGGGGATCAGAGGGATGGAGCAGCTCTGCTGGGAGAAGAGGCTGAGGGAAGTGGGAGTGCTCAGCCTGGAGAAGAGAAGGCTTTGGGGTGACCTCCTTGTGGCCTTCCAGTGCCTGAAGGGAGCTTAAAGGAAAGATGGAGAGAGACTTTTGACAAGGGCCTGGAGTGGCAGGACGAGAGGGAATGGCTTCACACTGACAGAGAGCAGGTTTAGGTTGGATATGAGGGAGAAATTCTTCCCTGTGAGGGTGGTGAGGCCTGGACACAGGTTGCCCATAGCAGCTGTGGCTGTCCTTGGATCCCTGGAAGTGTCCAAGACCAGGTTGGATGGGAATCAGAGCAACCTGGAATAGTGGAAGGCGTCCTTCACCACTGCAGGAGGGGTGGAACAAGATCATCTTTAGCATCCCTTCCAGGTCAGACCATTCTATTGATTTCCCCTCATCCTGTCCCTTGGATCCCTGGGAGCAGAGCCTGACCCCCACCTGGCTGCACCCTCCTGTCTGGGAAGTGTGGAGAGCAATAGGGCTCCCCTGAGCCTCCTTTTCCTCCAGGTTAAACACCCCCAGCTCCCTCAGCTGCTCCTCATCAGACTTGTGCTCCAACCTCTTGCCCTGCTCAGTTCCCTCCTCTGGACACACTCCAGCCCCTCAATGTACATCTTGCAGTGCCAAGACCAGAACTGGGCACAGCACTTGGGGTGAGACCTCTCCACTGCCCACGACAGAGAGACAGTCACTGCCCTGCTCCTGCTGGCCTCACCATTGCTGACCCAGCCCAGCAGCCATTGGCCTTCTTGCCCACCTGGGCATGCACTGTGGAGCAGCAGGCCCAGACCCCCCTTTCCTGCTGTGCTCTTCCCAGCCACTCTTCCCCAGCCTGGAGCTGCTGGGGGTTGTGACCCAGGGGCAGTACCCAGCACTTAGTATCTTGTTCAGCCTCAAGGATATGAAATGGGACTGGCTCTGACACTGGGCCCTGGGGCACAGCACCAGTGACCCGCTGCCAGCTGGATTAATTCCACCACCGCTCTCTGGGCCCAGCCATCCAGGCAGTTTATTCCCAGCAAACAGGGAACCTGTTAAATCCGTGGGCTGCAAGGACAATGCTCTCCAGGAGAGCTCTGTGGGAGCAGTGATCAAAGGCTTTACTGAAGGCCCAGGTACACAACATCCATAGCCTTTCCCCATCCATTGGGTATTCATAGAAAGAGGTTGGGTCAGTCTAGCAGGGCCTGCTTGAACTTGTGTGCTGGCTAGGCCTGACACCCCAGTGGTGCAGCACACATCATGTCATTGCACTCCAGGTAATCTGTTCCATACCCTTCCCTGCCACTGAGGTTAGGCTGATGGGCCTCTGGTTCCCCCAGTTGTCCTTCCAAGCCTTCTCATAGAGGGGCATCACACTGACCAACCTCCAGTCACCCAGGAGCTCTCGTTCACCAGGACTGCTGATAAATGATGGAGAGTGGAGCTTTGTGGGCTGCTTCACCAGCTCCCAGCAGAAGGATGGCATCTCCCTAGACTTGTGCATGTCTGGGCAGCACAGCAGCTCACTAACAACTTCCTCCTGCAGTGTGGGGACTTTGTTCTGCTCCCTGTTTCTGTCTTGTAGCTCAGGGGGCTGGATATGCAGAGGGTAACTGGGCTTTTGGTTAAAGGCTGAGGTCAAGAAGGCATTGTGTACTTCAGCCTTTTTCCTCATCCCTGGAGGTTGTGTTCCCACCCCAGCATGCAATAAAGGATGGAGAATCTCCTTGGCCTCTTTTTGTTATTAATGCATTGGAAAAAGCACTTTTTCTTAACTTTTATGCTGGTGGCCAGATTGACTTTTACCTTTCCAGTTTTCTCTCTGATTGACATCATGACATCCTTGTAGTCTTCCTGAGGTGCCTGACCCTTTTTCCAGAGCTGCTCAACTCTCTGTTCTTCCCCAAGTCCCAGTGGAAGCTTGCCATTCTTCCAGGCCAGCCTTCCCTGAACCAGCTTACGGCACATTGCATTGGGCTCCTCCTCCACCTCTATGACCTCCTTCCTGAGGAACGTCCACCTTCCTGGGCTCCTTGGCCCCTCAGGACTGCCTCCCAAGGGATTCTCTCAACCTGTGGTCTTAACAGACCAAAGCCTGATCTCCACAAATCCAAGGCAGTTGTTTTGCTGACCCACTTCCTCCTTCTTCCCTCCCTTCACTGAGAACTGAAATCAAATCATGTCACGGTCGCTGTACCCAAGATGGCCTCAGGCAACCTCATCTCCCACCAATGCTCCCCCATTTGTAAACAGCGATCCCCTGGGACACCCCCTCTGGTGGGCTTGCCTGCCAGCTGTGTCCAGGCTGGGCTGTCTGGTCAGGGTGTACAAACACCTGGCTGAAGGTGGGTGGGTGGAGGACACAAGTGAGACTCTCCTCTGTTCCATGCAGAGATGGCAGGAGCCACAATGGGTGCTCCTTGAAGTGTGGCAAGTTTGAATGAAAGGAAGGGTGGTGAAACACTGGATCAGGTTGCCCAGAGTGGTTGTGGAGTCCCTGTGCTGGGACAAGAGTTGTCATGAGTCCATCCATGGTGCTGCTCTGCATGGAAGGATTTGGGGAGAGGAGAGGGGTCTGGGACACTACAGAGCAACAGTTGTTTCAGGCAGCTGAAGAGGAACTGCAGTAGACCCTAAATTTAGCGGCTGTACTGATAAAGGAGGGATTTTATGAATGTGCCAGCATGTCTCATGCAAGGAAAGGTCAGCCACCCCTGATCACAGGGGCAAAGGGGAACTGTCATAGAATGAGGGACACCTGAATGTGGCAAAGTCCTTCAGTGAGGTCCCTGGCATATGAGGGAGTATTCCCTAATGAACAAGTAAAGCATTTGGTCAAAAGAGCGTGTTTCCAAGGGGTCATTCTGTACTTAGGGCTTGGGGTGGGAGCAGGCAGCTCTACGGAAGGCTCAGCTCAGTTATCATGGCAGTCCCAGCAGCAGTGTGATGGTTTCAAATTTTAGCAAAGCAGGAGAAAATAAAACCAAAAGTTTTCCTGGCACAGACTCAAGTTTAAAGTGTAGTGACTATGAGGTCTGAATTTCTTCCCTTTTTTTCATAATTACTTTATAATTGCATGTGTTGTTTGCTGCACTACGTACGTCCTTTTTATGAGCTGCTCACTGGATAAATGAGTGATGTCACTTCCTTCATCTATTGTGTTTTTCTATGTATTCAGATTTTTACTCTTGTCATTTCTTCTCAGAAGGAGGAAGTGCCAGAACATAGAGTTGTAGGTGCTCTCACAGACACCAAACTCTTAAAACTCTTCTCCAGCTGAGCAGGGAATTCTGTGGTGTCTTGAAAGCGGGGACAGGTGAGTAGAGTTTGCAGTTTCTTTGCAATGGCCCTTGTGTTTTCAGCGGAAGAGATAGAGCCAGGCTTCCTGTATTTGTTTTGTAAAAGAATTGCATAGGCTATTGTGGTGTTTAAAGTGTTCTCCTGTCTGCTCCAAAAGCAGAAATGTATTTCTAACTTTATAGAGATGTGACATTCGGTTCTTTGCTGAAAAGTTCGGTCCTTTGCTGAAAATGGACCGACAAGCCCAGTCCTTGCTTCTGGTTAGATTAAAGTGGCACTTCCCTTCCCCTCTACTGCACAAGAACTTCCCCCCAAGCCTGTACCACTTTCTCTTCTTATGCTTGCAAAGCAAATACTTATTTATAGGGTTAACCCAGCTGTGGTGTGTGGAGGGTGGGGAATGTAAAGGGGTCTGTAAAAGGCAGGGTGGGGTGGCTTTGGCTGCCTGTAGCTCTGGCAGCACATGCTGGCATTTCTGTGCAGGAGGAGAAAACTTTCTGGGGATCCAGAGCTGATCATTTGTGTATTGGCTGCCCCTCCTCTGTCCCCCAGTCCCTGGTGGCTCCATGTTCTGACATTTGGATGCCTCCCAGTGCGGCTGACAAGTAGTTTTTGGCCACAGGGGAAGCTCCGTATGTGACCCAGGCACAGTGATCAGGGAGCAATGACAAATGGGACCGTGCCACCTGGGTGCTTTTTCATTGTTCCCTGCCACTTTGGTTACAGCTGGTGGACTAAAGCTTTTCCTGTTTCCTGAACCTTTTTGTCCTGGAGGGTGGGGCTTTGGAGATGGAGCTCAGGGAGGCAGGAGAAATGATGGAATCCTTTAGGATGGAAAAGACCATTGAGATGCTTGAGTCCCACCCCAAAGTCCACTCTGCCAAGTCTACCACTAAACCAAGTCCCTAAATGCCACACCTATACGTCTGTTAAATACCTCCAGGGACAGTGTCTCCACTGCCTTCTTGGGCAGCCTGTGCCAATGCCTGGTAACTCTTCCAGGGAGTAAAATTCTGAGTAATGTCCACTCTAACCTCCCTTGGCACAACTTGAGACCATTTCCTCTGGTCCTAAAAGCCACAATCTTCGTCACTGCTCCTTCACGTGCTCTTGCCCGTTGACATTTGGGGCCCAGTGGTGGGCACAGGAGATGCTGCTTCTGCTGCCCCTCGATTTAAGGAGAGACAAGGGCAGCAATGCTGATGCTAATGCTGAGGATGGAGCTAGACTGACTTATCTGTTTATTGCTGCCTTGTTAATAACCTCTTCCACTCCATCCCTCCCTTTTGCCAGAAGAAGCAAGGAAGTAAGGGCAGGAGAGCGGAGGGATTGCCTGCTCACCAGCAGGATCCACGGGGAGAACTGAGCAGGGCAGAGCCAGAGTGGCCTGTGCAGGGTTGGGAAGCAGCCTTGGAACTCCCTTTACAATGGCATTTCTTGATCTTATTGTCTACATCTGCCTCAAGAGCTGTCCTGCATCCATTCCTTTCCCACCCTCCATCCGTCCTGCCAGGCTACGCTGCCATGAACAATGGGCCAGGCTCTCTGCAGGAGCAGGTGTTTGGTTTGGAAAGGCAGCAACTGCCAGCTCAACAACTGGAAGGCTGAGGCTTGTGTTTGGTTTGGGGGTAGGATATGTTGTGTATCAGGAGAAAACAACTCCCCTCATAAAAAACAGCTATCAGTGGGCAGCAGCTCCACATAGTGTTTGTTGACACGGCTCCAGGAATGGTCATAAGGACCATTCCTATTTCCTCCTGCCAGGGCTTTGGGTACGTGTCTCATTTCTCTTGTTGACAGTGACCTGAAGTTCTAGAGGATGACAGATGAGTTCTCTAATGGTGTTCCCAGAGTTTGTTGTGCATCACTATGAAGGCAGAACACAGACCGATGAAGGAAGGCTCATATTCTGCTGCCTCATCTGTCAGGTTCTTTCTCTTTTTCCTTCCCTTCAGATCATGACAGCTGTCCCGGGAGAGCAACCAGCCTCTCTTGCTGTCCTCCACAAGACCTGTCACTGCAGGGAAGATTGAACCCATTCATCAGCATCCTTGAGCTGGTCCTCGCTTGGTGTTCTCCAATGGCTCTTCCTGTGAAGCCCAGCCTGAGCAGCCCCTTGTGATGTTTCAACAGCTGTAGGTGCCCCTGCTTTGCTCTCTGTGGCATTTGAAATTTTCAGAGAATATTCTGTGTTGGAAGGGACCCACAGCCATCTTGTGTCCAACCCCTTGCTCTGCCTGGGTACAGCACACTCCCTCAATCCTGCCCTGTGCATGAGAATGTCATCCTTGGGGCTGTGAGCCTTCCCTGAGGAGCCTGTTCAGTGCCCCATGACCCTCTGGGGGAAGAACCTTTCCCTGATATCCACCTTAACCATCCCCTGACACAGCTCCAGCCATTCCCTTGGATCCTGTTCTTGGTCACCACAGAGCAGAGATCACGGCCTTCCTCTCGTGAGGAAGCTGCAGAACTGCTGTGAGCTCTGACCTCAGTCTGCTCTTCTCCAGCTGTACACACCAAGTGCCCTCAGCTGCTCCTTGTGTGGCTTCCCCTCCAGGTCCTTCACCATCTTCAAAACCCTACTTTGGAAACTCTCAAACAGCTTTATATCTTTCTTATAATGTGACACCCAAACCCACACACAATATTCAAGGTTAGGCTGCCCAGCCCAGAGCAGAGTGGGACAATCCACTCCCTGGCCTGGCCAGTGATGCTGGGTGCCCCAGGGACAGGACTGTCCCTTCTGGCTGCCAGGGCACTGCTGGCCCATGTCCAACTGGCCATTAACCCCCAGGTCCCTTTCCACAACACTGCTCTCCAGTCTCTCATTCCCAGTCTGTCTGTACATCCAGGGCTGTTCCATCCCAGGTGCAGAATCCAGCCCTTGCCTTTGTTAACTTCACATCATTGGTGATTGCCCAGCCCTGTCATTTGTCCAGGACTCTCTGGAGGGCCTCTTCACCCTTGAGGGAGTCAACAGCTCCTCCCAGTTTTTATCATCTGCAAGCTTACTTGGTATCCCTTGCTGTCCTGCATTCAAGCTTTTTATGAGGATTTTTAAGACAATGGGGCCTAAGACGGTGCCCTGTGGAACCCCACAAGTGACAGGCTGCCAGTCTGCTGTCACCCAGGCACTGTCATTCTTTGTGCTTGACCTGTGAGCAAGTTGCTCAGCCATCACACAATGTGTTTATCCAGCTGTGGGCTGCACACTGAGATTATATCCAAAGCTTTACTGAAATCCAAAATGATTACATCTACTGATGTTTTTTTAATTAACTGGGTGGATGTGGCAGTGGGAGTTTGAAGATATTTGGTCTCTCCCTGCCTATAGCAGTGGGGGTTTGGAGAATATGTTTAGTCTCTGTATAAAGTTGTTTACCCCCGTCTCACCATGGCAGTTACGATAATTCCAGATTTTCCCGTCTATCCTCAAAAATCCTACCCCTGTGGATTGTCTGTCATGATTTGTTACACCCCTTTATCCAGAGAATTTGCTGTCAGTTATGACTTTTCCTTTCTGCCATTGGTATGTGACTTTCCCACTCCAAGTTATGTTTACATCTGTTACCCCAGACCCCTCCTAACTAGCCAGATGGTCTCCTCCTGGGATTCCACCTCCCCCCATAAAAGCCGCTGTTTTTCTGTGTTTTGCTTTCTTTTGCCAATGTCCCCCTTCGAGCCACAGCACTCCCACGTCTCACCGGCTCCTGCACGGCACTGCAGCCCCGGCACTGCTCCCACTGCACGAAAGAATAAAGACAGCTTGGAGAAACAAGCCAAGAGCCCTTCCTTCTTCCTTTGCCTCGATTCTTAGACATGGGTTCAGGTTTATCGGCCGCTCATGGCGGTCCGGGATCCCAGCCAGTGGCCGAACCTCAATCCTGCCTGCCAGCGGCTGAGTTGGGATGTGGTCCCTCCTGGTGCACATGCCGAAAGCGAAGGGGCATCAGAGCGCACGGGCAACCGGTGCCACCACTCCTTCTGCGATTTGGATGCCACGTCAGATGGGTTATCTTAGCATAAAAGGAAATTAGTTTTGAAAAGCAGGACTTTCCTCTCATGGAGATGTGCTGGCTGTGACCAATGACGGTGGTGTCCTTCAGGTGTTTTTCACTACCTCCCAGAATAATCATCTCCTTAATTTTACCAGGCACTGGAGTTAGACTGACAGGCCTGTAGCTTCCAGGGTCATCCTTCTTGCCCTCTTTGAAAACTGGGACCTCTCCAGATTCTCAAGACTGTTCAAAAATTATCAAGAGATGCCTCATGATGATATCAGCCAGCTCTTTATGTATTCTCACATTAATGCCATCATACCCCATAGACCTACAGGGATCCATCTGGAGCAGCAGATTCCTCACACCTTCAGGGTTAACTCAGCGTTTATCATTCTCATAGTCACAGTCCTCGAGCTGAGGCTGCTGGGACCTCCTTAGTCGATCATGCGTGTTGAAGACAGAGGCAAAGAAAGCATTAAACATCTCTACCTTGTCTGTGGTGCTGTTTGTGAGGAGACCATCCTCATCCTGTAATGGGCTGATGTCATTTCAGCATTGCCTTTTGCCATTAATGTATATTTAAACCCTCTTTTTATTCTTCCCCACATTTCTGGTGGCTTCAGCTGCAGTGGAGCTTTGGTCAAACAAGTTCTCCCCCAACAGCAGTAAGCAGCATCTCCATATTCCTTCCACATCACCTGACCTTGCCTCCACTGGGCATACCCCTTCCTTTTTTACCTTATCTCCAAAAGAAGATTCCTGTTCAGCCAAAGTGGCCTTCTACCTCATCGGCTTGATTTCCAATTTTTAGGAATTAGCTGTTCCTGTGCCCTCAGGAGCTGGTGCTAAAAATGTGACCACAGCACTGATGGACCCCAGGACCTTCAAAAGCATTTTCCCAGCTGTGTTCGTTCTCAAATAAATTCTCAAAATCTCAAATTTTGAGAAAAAAAACCCTCAAATTTTTTTTCTCAAAATCTCAAATTCAAGATTTCAAAAATCTCAAATTGATGAACCAAAACCACTACAACAGGGGACTTTACTTGGTTCCCTGAGCAGCCAGAAGTCACTTCTTCCCGTGTCCATGGCTGAAGTTTTGTTGGCACTTCTCCTTCTGTCACCAGAGATTTTAAACTCAATGGCTTCATAGTCACTGTGGCCAAGACAGCCACCAATCTCTACTCAAGAGGATCACAAGATCCTCTCTGTTGACAAGCAACAAATCAAGGAGGGAGGGAATCTTTCCAAGCCAGCCCTCTTAGTACCCATAGCATGAAGCTGTCATCCAGGTGTTTCAGGAATACATAGGGAGTATATGAAAATTTTGTTAAAGAAACAGAAAATATTTTAAGGCCTGCTGTGGATCTGATGACCATCACCCTACCTAAATGTGTTCCCTGTGTGTCCAAGTCATTGTATTGTAATAATGCATTTGAAATTAACCTCTTATGGAATGAGAAGGGGAGACTAAAACATCCTGGAGTTCTGCCTGTGCCAAATCAAAGTTTCTGTCTGGAAGGTAAAGTGTAAGCAAAGTGTGGTTATTGCTGTTTTAGATATGCAGTGACTAAAAAATAAGAGAAATATGTATATCAATTTTAATAGAACCTTTTCCTAAATGCCATTATTTGCTGAAAAGTATAGCGCTATCATGCTGAAGGGAAGACTGATGTAATTTAGACGTATGTTTAATGTGAGCAGGAGTATGTTTAACAGTTTCTCAGTGTCACAGCACATTACTTATTAAACAATCCATTGCAGACCAAGAGACGGAGTCATCAATTTTTACTTGAAATTAGTTGTATAAAACAACATATTAACTTTGCTGTCTGGTCCTGTCCACCCCCCACCCATTCCTCCTCTCTCCACCACTCCTCCTTTCCCTTCATTTAAAAAATAAAGTTTCCTGCTCACTCCACTAATCTTCACTAGTGATGCTGAGAAGTACTGGATATGCTGTTCCAATATGTGGAACAACTGAGCAGTACTGGATATGCTGTTCAAATGTGGTGCCCGTGGCACGAGACAACCATCTGTAGCTCGTACTCATCTATCTTCACTGTTTCGTGTGTGACTTTCTTCAGACAGCAGGAAAATGACTGTGTAAAGGGCAAATTCAAACTCCAGGCTGACACCAATAAAGGTGCTTCCAACTGGCTTGACTGAACCCTTCCAGCTGAACTGGATGGTCAAAACTTGGTCATCTTTATCAGGCTGAAAGCACAAACCAAACAACAGAATAATCTCCAACACAGCTGTGACTGGACAGATAGAATTTCTGATTCCAGATTTTTGAGAGCTTTGTAAGATTTAGTCATCCTTGGTGTGCTTGGGCTATAGCTGGGCACTATCTTTTCCCTGACCTCTGGAGCATACATGACCATTTATCCCAGCTAAGCCTCAGCAGTGTTGCAATTCTGTAAACACCAGCACTACTTTTTAAAATAGTTTTTGCAAAAAAAGAAACTGGAAGACATGTCATTATTCATTCTTCTTATATACAGTTATGTACTGTATATACTTATTGCGGTTCAAAACACTGAGCCTATAATTGCATTATTACACTTCTTTCATTGCAACTTTTATCTCTGGATCCATTTGTTTTACTTGCAAAGGCCTTCAAAGGCTTGTTCTTGCCCTGGTTTTGTTCTTCCAAGATACGTATCCCTTGTAGTCAATCTGATTGCAATTTTCCTGAAGGTAAAATTGCACCCAGTTGTGCAAACCTAAGATCTCTTTACCATGCCTTGTTTCTCCAACAGAAACATACATGTTCAAAACCACAAGAATCAGGTCTGTAATGAAGAAGAAGAAAAAAAAAAAGAATATATAGGTATTTTATATGTTTCATAGAGCCATAGGATGGTTTGGAAGGGATGTTAAAGCCCATCTCATTCCAACCCCCTGCCATGGGCAGAGACACCTTCCACTATCCCAGGTTGCTCCAAGCTCCATCCCGCCTGCCCTTGAACACATCCAGGGATGGGGCAGCCACAGCTTCTCTGGGCAACCTGTGCCAGGGCCTCACCCCCCTCACAGAGAAGAATTTCTTCCTCATATCCAATCTAAACCCACTCTCTGTCATTCTAAAGCTATTCTGAAGCTGTTTTCCAGCTCTACATGCAGCATATGGCACTCGGGCTTTCATTTACATAAATCAGAATAGCACAGAGATTATCAGTGCCTATACTCATACCTGTCTCCTCCTTTCCTGGCATAGAGCTGGAACCAGATGTCATAAAGCTGATGGTTTGGCCTTGCTAGGTTTTTTTTTCAGCAGATAATCATGAGCTAGCTGAAGGGTAGAAAACCAAGACACATATACAGTTTACTTTTTAAATCAGTGTTTTCAGTGACAAAAAAGATCTTTGTTACTCACTCTCATGACTTCCATTGCTAAGATAGCATCAAGGAAACAATTGTTTTCAACTATTTCTTCTGGAGCCACTACTTCTGCTACACCAGTTGATGTCATATAGTTGTCCAATAAGGAAATAAAGGCTGTAGAAAAAGAAATTTTCAGTCTGCTCATATGCCTGATCCAGACATTAGAGTGCCACCACAAAAAGTCACTATAGAGTATGCCTTGACAGCCCTTAGAGAAAGCCATGCCTTTATGTGTCACATTCTACTCTCAGGTATACTGTTAGGTGTAGGCTTCAAGGTGACATAAGGCCAGATCACTGCTGTACTTTTTATAGTCCTTTTTAAAGATAAACAGCTACTGAGCTTCCTTATGGAGCCAAGTAATGAAGTAATAATGACCTTCTACCAAAACAAATCACATCTGCCCACCACAATTATAGACACAAGCTTAGGACCTTGAGCTATGCTGGCACAAGGTTTTGTGGGCATTATTTCAGTAGAGGAATAATAGAGCATAAACCTATATCGGATGTCTTGAGCTTGAGAAAAATTAGGAAAGGAAACATATATTCACAGACATGGCTGAAGTATAGCTCCCAACAGAAATGCAAAACCTAGCTGTGGGTCTGGTACTATCTGAAAGAGCTTGGAAGTTGTGAGTAAAGGAGCAAAGATGAAGTTGGTGTCTTTTTCAATGCATAGAATCTTAGAATGGTTTGGGTTGGAAGAGACCTTAAAATCATCCAGTTCAAACTCCCTCTCATGGTCAGGGACACCATCCACTATCCCAGGCTGCTCAGAGCCCCATCCAGCCTGGCCTTGGACACTGCCAGGGCTGGGGCAGCCACAGCTTCTCTGGACAAACTATTCACCATTATGTCCCAACTGCCCTCATAGGGAAGAATTTGTTTCTAAATTCTAATCTTAACCTTTTCTCTGTCAGTGTGAAGCCATTCCCTCTCATCCTGCCACTCCAGGCCCTTGTCAAGAGTCTCTCTCCATCTTTCCTGTGGTTTCCCTTCAGGCACTGGAAGGCCACAAGGAGGTCACCCCAAAGCCTTCTCTTCTCCAGGCTGAGCAATCCCAATTCCCTCAGCCTTTCCTCCCAGCAGAGCTGGCTCCATCCCTCTGATCCCCTTGGTGTCCCTGCTCTGGCCTGGCTCCAGCAAGCTCCCTGTCCTTCCTGTGCTGGCCCCAGGGCTGGATGCAGCCCTGCAGGGAGCACTCAGCAGAGCGGGGCAGAGGGGCAGAATCCCTCCTGCCCTGCTGCCCTGGGGCTCTGGGTGCAGCCCAGCACAGGGGGGTTCTGGGTTGGGGCAGGGCCAGCTCTCACCCACAGCACCCCCAAGTCCTTCTGCCAGGGCTGCTCCATCTGCTCATCCCCAGCCTGGATTGATCCCAGGGGCTGTTCTGATGCAGATGCAGCACAACCACTTGGTCTTGTTGAACCCTGTGAGATTCCCTTGGGCCACTTCTCGAGCTGGTAAGTGTCTCATCCCTTTTACTTTGTAGTGGAAGAGACAGATAATTCAGATTTTGCCTGGGGCACAAAAGGATGTTCCTCTTGAGGCTCAGGTACAGGTAATCTCCAAGCAACTGTTACAAAAACTCCCTTCAAATCACCTGCAGTCTGATGATCCTCACCACCATCCAAATTATATACAATGTTACATTTTAGGCAAACACATCAAAAACACAGATTTTTTTATATTACATCCATTAACAAAAGAACGGGTCTCACTTGCAAAAGTTTTTATGCTCGTCAGGCATTCTTTGCTTACATTGTGAAACAGACGTCTGTCTGCATTGTCCTAGACAGCACTGTGTCCTGGTTGCCAGACACAACACACGATATTGGGATAAAGGCTGTCACCCCACGACACACTGTCACCTTGCTATGCTGGACCTGCTTTTCCCTAGCAAAAATGGAGGAAAACAAGGACTAAGATGTACTTAGAGGAGACAGTGCCTGCCTTTGTGATAATCAAACCAAACCCCATAATGCTACCAGGATTCTTTGCTAGGAATTGTCTTCCTATGAAATGAGAGACAATATTAGAGAAATACCAGCATAAAGAAAAAAAGGCAAACTCTGTTTCCTCAGAGAATTGTAATGGCCCATGGGATAATTCAGTTCTGCTCAGTAACCAGCTGTGCTGTTATACTATGTAAATCACAAATGGTAAACTGAAGCAATGTAGAGCAAGGGCTCCCTCCCACCACAAATAAATAAAAAGGAGATTTGGGTACGTTCTGTCTCTGCAATTTTAAGGAGGTTTTCCTGATAATTTTCAAATTTCTATTTCAAAAAGGGCATTCTCAAGGAAAGAAGATAGAATGACGCTGGCCATTTATATACAGACACGAACGGGAACCACATCTGAATAGCGTTGTGAGCTGTTTATTCAAGCAGCATCAGTCTCATTACATGGCTATGACAACGGATCGATGCGAGCAGCTCGTTATCCAGACAGCAGGCTAAGGAAACTTAATGTTGCAACATACTATAAGATAGTCTTAGACCCAGTCTCAGCCAATCACATAGAGCAAAAGCATATTGACAGTAGTTCTATCCAACCACCTGAAGCACACGTAGCCTCGATAGCAGCTTTTTCTTTCATACAATGGTTTGTTTACAAGAGACAAAGCACAGAGCTCCATTCATATTTAACCTTCTAAATATTTACTAAAATATACTTTTTGCAACTTAGAAAGCCAAACTACACAGCTTTATTGTTCTATTTCTCATGTCTTCGCTACTGCCAATATATCTTTTCTGCTGTTTTAACATTTCACTGTCCTTACTGTCTCTGAGGCCTTTCTTTTTCCCAACTTTCCTAAAATCCTCTAATCCTATGGATTCCCACAATAGAAGATGAGTAGCAGCTTGTTGACATAGGCAAGAGGTACCTAGAGCCTTGTTCTGACAAACAGAGAAATCATATGAGAGAAGTTTTGCCCACACACATTTTGGCTTGAGGTAGGTACCGCTATTTCGAATTTAACAGCAACAGGAAATTATCTGTTATATGAAGCAACATTGGAATAAAGTGTTTGAGTAACACCAGAATAAAGTAAGTTCTTGTGTGAGTACAAAACTGGATTGTGAATATTCTGACCTATTGCAATTTGTAGCCAAAACACATGGTCATGTTTGCACTGCACTGAGCTAGCAAGGACTGAAATGGCTGCTTATGAAATCTCTCACTCCTCCCTCACATTTCCCTGGGATTGGAAACAACAGTCTTGAAATCTTCACCCACCCTCCTCTGCTACTCCCTGCTCTCCCAGAGAAACACAGGAATTTCTCAAATTCCTCCCTTATTCCCCTAAGAATGACTTGGGACCTATCTCCCTTTCTCCCTTGCTGCAAGTCACCCAGACCACACCACAAGCTGTCATTCACACACTGAAACACACAGGGGGGAGCAGAACATCTGTAGTGTTGCTCAAAGTGTGGTTATCACTGAATTCAGACTGTTTCTCAGGGTGTTGTCTTTTTGGGTCTTGAAAACATCCAGAGATGGAGATTTCACAGCTTCTCTGGGTATCCTGTTCCTTTGTCTTTGTTGAATTTCATGATGTTCCTTCCTTAGCATATTCCTTCAGCCTGCCTATGTCCAGTGGAAGAGAAGCCCTGCATCTGAGCATACCAACTTCATCACAACAGTTTGCTGTCATCTGAAAAACTGGAAGGGTTGCACGCTAGTTCCTCCTCTAGCTCACAGTCACAGAGATGAAATATTACAGGACCCAAGACAGACTCCTGAGAGATACCACTTGTAACCAAAGTCCAGGTAAGTATGAACCATTTGTGTTCTCTGTACCATTCCCTCTCCTAAGGGATGCTTTCCCCATTGGACATGACAAAGCACAGGCAACTTTTTAAGCAAAAAGCACTTTTGCAGGCACCTTTTTCTGCGGGTACAGGGACCTCCCTGGAGTCGTGAGGGGATCCCAGCCCATACTCAGTCACCACAGATGAGATACGTTCCCTTGGGTAATACTTTGGGATGGAGAGAGGACACAGAGATCACACGAGCAATGTAATTACACCAATTGTGAGGATTATAGGCTTTGTTAATTGGCGATACGTCTTTTCGGTATGTGTTTTTGGTCTGATCAGTTTCTGGCCAATTATTTTTTGGTCGTTTAAAGTAAAATTTGACACAGTATGTTGCCTTGGAGGACCCCAACAGATCCAATTCTTGGGGTTCCTCGAGAGCATTGGGCAATATTTTTGTCCACTCGTCCCAAGTATCTACCAGGTTGGGTCTCTTACCTCTGGTGCGGAGAAGCTCTGAGTTATAGATGGGCCAGTCATCTGCTACAAAGGGAATTCCTACTGGACATGTGGAAAGTGGGTTATCAATGCTACCCATGGATAAGCACATGTTATCACGTTTTAATGGCTTTGCTAAGGTTACGCAGACATTATGGCTAGGCTGTGGGCTAATCCAACCGATGGCACACGGTACGGTGAGGAACATCCAGGCAGCAGTGAGGGCAGCACCAACGTAGATATTTTTCATCTTTGGACAGGAATGGGGCTTCTGATAGGGAATATAAGCAAAATTTGTTATCTTGATGATAGGAGGGGAGGGTTAGGGTTTTGTCCCTTGTTCCTTTCCTCTGTTCTTTCCAACCCCACCCCCCCCCCCCCCCCCGGGTATAAAGTTAGAGGCTTTTGGCAAGCATTAGGAAAGGGGATAAAAAGGGTTTTTAGGGTAAAAAAGGGTAGTAACATATAATTCATAGAACAGTTTTGTTTTCAGGCTGTATCTGGCCTAGGGCTTGATGCCGCAGAATGTTGTTCAGCTTTCTGTGTTGTCTGCTGTCGCGTGATGGGACGGTCGTCTCCTCTGCATGTGGATGTTCGGCGACGTCTTCGTCTCCAGGCACTTGCCGTGCTGGGAAGAAGTTTTTCTCTTGGGAAATACTCTGAGCAGGGAGAAGGCAGCCAGAAGGTCAGCAATCCTCCTGCAGTCCAAGGCATGAGATGTGCTCCCCTTCCACTCCTCTTGCCTGGTGAGGACTGTCATTCAGCCTGGCAGGAAGGTACAGGAGAGGCAGGAGGTGCCAATTTCCACAAGAGTCTGAGGACAGCACCACAACTCACACTGCTCTCAGTGCAGGAACACTCACACTAGGAAGTCAGAGGCACCTGTAGCAGGCTCCTGTCTCACCTTATCTTGCATCATGGATTATATGCCAAATGGATTTTATGTCTCTGGATGAAGTTTTAGCCCAGAAAGAAGCACTACAAGCCTAACAGCCTTGAAATGGATGGGACATTCTAGTACTGTTATTCTGTATCCAGTTATTATTTGACAGTAGAAAGGAAGATGATAACTAATTTGAGATCAAAAAATCAAAGGTGATGAAGGAAAAACTCCAACAAATGCATCTCTATTTAGAGCTGGAACTGCTAAGTGTGATCTTGTGAATATTAGGAGGTGTTATAAACAATAAATGTTTTAGAAAGACAGAAATTTGCATGTGCCACTGGAAGCAAGTGGTGGCAGGTGCTGGTGCCTGTCCTGGGAAGCTTGCATTTATTATGTGCCTAAATCAGCCTTCAGATTGTTTAAAGCTTATTGTTGTTTGGTTGGTACTTGTGACATCTTCTTCTTCTTCATCCTAATTAATTTCTGAAAAGCATCCTTTTAGGTCTAAACTAGATATATGCATATAGAGAAGCCAGAATGGCTTGATGCTAGCTACCAGTCATACAAGTGGTTCTGCACCTCTGGTCCATGAGCCCCTTCAAAGAATCAATTTAGGGCTAAATAAAGCCCCTGGTGATGAAGACACACAAAATTGCATAGGGAACAAGACATGCAGCCCACTTAAAACACTTAAAAGTGAAGCTTCCTTCTGACACTGGTAGGGGAAATTAAAGTATCTCAAAACTGAATATCCTTCATTTCAACGGAAATTTTCTTTACATCTTTGGTTAGTATTTATTGCAGCTAAGGGTAAAACAGGTAAATGACAAAAATCCAGTGTCCTGGATTTGTCA